TGTAGGATAGATTATATTTAATGGAGTATGGACAGAAAGAGAGAGGGAGAAAGGAGGGAGGGAATTGATGAATGTGACAATTTTTTTCCTTAATTCTTGAATCTCATGTTCAAATCTCAACTACAGTTTCTCTAAATGAAGCCCTTGCATAGAGTACAGTCTGTGCTAGATGTGATCAAAGCTCTGCAAAGAGTTTATATTTTAGGAAATGATAAGACCTGTACTAAAATAATGTTTATGCAGTCTACAGTGAATTACATGAGTGCCATTGTACCTGCTGTGACATAATAGAAATAAATAATTTCTCTGCCCCAGTTCATGGTATAGAACTCCTAAAACCCTTGTAACTTGGTGGCATTAAAAGCATGGATCACACTATTCCAAAGAAAATGATGAGCAATGTGCATTTGGGGAAAGATGAGATGTCCTCATAGTTGATGCAGAGGAAACAGATTGGAGAATAGTAGGATGTAATTTATGAAAGGTTTATAGCAGGTGTTCTGAGACTAGACCCCAATATTTCTAAACCAGAGATAGATGGAAGCCAGAATGGGCAGACAATTTATTTTTTCATGTGATTCTAAGAATAGAAGCAGGAATTCGCTTTTTATACAAAACAGCAGATATTATGTGACATCCCATTTATGTGAACAGCAAAATAGTCAAATTCAAAGAGATGAAGTAAAATGGTGGTTACCAGGGGCTGGGGTGCTGGGGCGGGGAGGAATGGGGAGTTATTGCTTAAGAGTTACAGATTTTCAGTGTGGGATGATGAAAAAGATCTGGAGATGGATAGTGGTAATGGTTACATGATAATGTGAACATACTTAATGCCCCTGAAGTGTACACTTAAACATGATTAAAATGGTAAATTTTATGTTACATATACTTTACAAAATTTTAAAAAGAAACAGGAAAAGAGTTTGTCTTTAGGGCAGACCGTCCTTTTAGTCATGAGAGCATAATTTGGTGAGCCTTTTAGCAGTACAGATGGAAGGTGAGTGCCACTAGGAGCACTGAAGGTGCTTCAGACCCAGATGGACCACATTTCTGTTCATTGGGCCTTGCTCTTCAGAGACAATTATGATATGAAGTTATGTTTGACATCCTCTAACTGGGGCTTAACATAGGGAGGAAGACACCTGAATCTGTGGATTAAAGATAAGGAGGAGAGAAGACCTCTGCCCAGGATGCTAAGTAGGCCCTGGCAGGCAGCATGGCCTCAAGCCAGTGCCAATGAGAATGGCTGTAGGAAACCTCCAGGAAGAAGTATTGATGCATCTAACAGGTGATCTCTAGCTTTTCGTTTCTCTCTGAAAATTGCGATTTCTTAAGCTCTTATCAAGCCTTCAATATAGTTCATAGGCCAGCAGACCACACCCATAGGGCCAGCCACTTGTTTTTGTAAAGTTTTTATCAGATCACAGCAAAGCCTATTTGTTTATGTATCAGCTCTGGCTATTTTCATATTACAACTGGAGAGCTGAGTTGTTGCAAAAGAAGTTGTATGACCCCCCACACAAAAAAATCTAAAATATCGATTACCTGGTCCTTTAAGAAGTATGCCGAAAAAATGTTTGTCACAGATTCAAGTAGTTGTGTTTGAGAAGGAACTGGAGGGGCATTGTCCACCTGTTGGAATATAGTGGACCCGAGAGGGGCAGAGATCTGCAGATAAATCAGAGTGAGGGGCACCCGCGGTCTTGGATTTGTAGAACATGTAAACCCTGCCCCAGAAATCCTCGGGAGTGGACTGAGCTTCCTGCCACCACTTAAGAGAGAACCTGGACCACGAACGAAAATGAGTTATATATTTGAGGTTCCATGTATGAAGCTTTTGGTTGTTGGACTCTATCTGGGACTAATCTCAGTCCCTAAAGAGATCCAGGGATATGACCTCAGCATAACCTTGAAGCAGTTGAACAAATGGTGCTACTTAATGCACAGATACTGCACAGGCACGCTCTGTAATTACACCCCAAAGTGAATAGTAAGTTGCTATTTCCCTCACAGTTTCTGAGGTGGAGGAGGAGTGAAGGGAGGGGAGGAAGTGGGATGCACTCTTCTGAGTAAGGCTGTTGCAAGCGTAACACCAGATAGACACAAAGCTGTGTGGGCTTTTCATTAACATTTCTTAAATTTTTAAAAAAATATCTTAAGATTTAAATTTCCCTGAAGAAGTGAATGAGTCATAAACCAGCACTGTAGACTGAATTTCTCTCTCAGAAAGTAAAATTATTCCTAGAGAGAGAAGAAAGGTACCTTTGGACCTCAGGTCATTCCCCACCCCACGCAGCTGTGGGGACTCCCCAGCCAGCGGTGCTGAGATTGTGGCATCATCAGTTGACAGGCATTGGAGGTCAGGCTGAACTTCTTTATCAGGGAGCTCAGGGATATCCTAAATTCCATTAGCTCTGACTTTTGGATTGCCCAGGAAAACCTTCCATTTATGTGTAAGCCTCCAGCTGGTGCAACCTCCTACCTGGTCATAGAGCAGGAAGGGTTCAGATGCTGAGAGGGCTGCTATTTAGTAACAGAACTCCATTCTCCACCCTCCCCACCCCATTCCAGAGGCCAGGTTACTAGAAAATCTGTAATATGTGAATGAAATTCAACAAACTTTACTCTTTTTGAAAAAGGACCTAATCCCCAAGAACTGCAATCTTTAGTCAACCAAGTATTTTGAAATCCCAGTTACATCCAAAGTTGAAAAGAAAAGCAATCTTTGGACTTACCAACTACCGTTCTTAGAGCATTTGGGGTTCTAAGCCTTCAGTATCTACGGTACGTAATCTCAGTGATATTGTCTTTACCTTTTCATTCGCTCATTCACTCATATATTCATTCCAGAGATGGTGAGTACTCAGTATGTGACAAACACTATTCCAGAATACAAAGATGCACAAAGCACAGTTCGTGCCCTTAAAGACATCATAGTTTTAGGACAGACGCTCTGCTTAGATTAAATTTGATTATGAGTATCATAAATAATATCATTGTCATCAAAAACAAGATAAGACAATAAGAGTATTTGGTGCATATTTTGACATAACTCATACTAGATTTGAAGACACTTTGCAAAGTAATATTTTCAGAAATGTTTGACCAATTACAGAATTTTTCTCAAGACTATTACTTTGAAAAATAGATTTCTTCTGTATAGCACAGGGAACTATATTCAATATCTTGTAATAACTTTTAATAAAAAATATGAAAATGAATGTATGTATATGCATATGCTTTTAACTGGGGCATTGTGCTCTACACCAGAAATTGACACATTGTAACTGACTGTACTTCAATTTAAAAAAAAGAACATTACTTTGAAGGATGTCACTGATTTGTGCATAATCAAATCTTCTTTAAAATATTTTTGACATGTTATTTCAGTCATAACGTGCTAACATCTCTTGTAGTACTAACATAGACATAGAAGACACCCAGTAAGCATTTCACTGAATTTTAGATTTGGAACGCACTTTTAGAAATCAGATAGTCCCGTGATCCTTAACCTTAGTTGGGTTTGAAAATCTAATGAAATCTGTGGAACTAATTTCCCATTAAAAAAGCATATATTTACAAACATTCAGATTTTTGTATACAATTTTAGGGGATTGGTGGATCACCATAAGTGTCATCCATGAACTCCTTTGAGGGTCACGTGATCTAATCTAATCTTCCATTTTATAATTGTTGAAAATAATTGGCAAGAACAGGGATTGGAAAATTATGACCCTTGGGCCAAATCCGGCTCATCTCTCCTTTTTGTACAGCTGGGGCTAAGAATGGCTTTTACATTTTCATATGGTTACATTTTAAAGTTATGTAAGAACATGTATATTATCTTCAATTTTGTCTCTTGGCTTATAAAACCTAAACTATTTACTATCTAGTCCTAATGAAAGAAGTTTGCCACTCCCTGGCCAAGAATGGTTAGAAAATATCTTCCAAATTACTCAGCCAATTACTAGAAAACAGAGGACCACCTGATTCTTCATCCATTGATCTCTCATTACTCCTATTGATCGATTGAAATATTGACTAACTGATTGGTTGATTTAAACCAAATAAGAAAGAAAAGAAGGAGTTGTAAATCTGGAGTACTTAATAAACGATTTCTTAGGTAAGTAATTGTGCAGTTGTGCAGGAAGTTGAAATTCAGAGAAATAAGTGACCTACTCAAAATCATATGAAAAATTTGTTAAAGAAGCAAGACTGAGCTCTCAAACTCAGGTTGTGCATTACTGACTGATTTTTTAAACTTTCCATTATTTTCCATTCCACATGTTTGAAATGCAATACTTCTCGTGAAAGGGAAATAATGGCATGAAAGGAATTTATTTAAAGTAAAATTATTTGAACAGATGTTGTTGTTAACCTGTAATTCAGTGATTTTTAAAGGTATTTTCAGATTCCTCCTGTCGTTTAGTACTGTAAAAATGAAATGCAAAGAATTATAATAACCACAAACACAAAATCACATACGCTATTTCAAATACATTCTTTTAGAAATTTCAAAGTACCTGATTGTTATGGATCGCTTTCTTCTGTTGAGTAGGGCTGCCAGAATGATTTCAAACTATATATGACAGTATTACCAATAATAGAGTTTAAAGATTTTAATAATAAAAAATAATAAAACTGCTTAAAAGATAAACTTTTGAATAATATGTAAAAGCAATAGAAGAGCCCCTAAAGACTTCTATAATATTTTTAGCCAAAGTTTTTTTTTTTTTGATAGAATCTGGAACCATGTTTGTCTGTATTTAAGTACTAATAAAAATTGAGTCTCACCCTCAGAGTAGTTGTAAACTACACAGGAAGAACTGAACAATTCTTTCTATAGAGGAGGACTTGTAGTCAGAGTAAATAACCTTGTTTTTTACAGTAAGATTATCTGGAGATTATGAATTAGGACTGCATTGGGAAGTCCGGCGTGCTCTCTTTATGCATAACCTCCATTCACATGCCTCCTCCTGCCCCAAGTCTTTTGCACTTACCTGAAAAAGCCCAAGTTCTCAAGAGAAGGTGCAGAGTTGAGCCATTTGTCTGACTTCCAAACAGGACTCTTTTCTAACAGCAAGGCTGCTGGGGCACTTCCATGATCTGTGTGCACTCACAGGGACTGGCAAGCTCACCAAGCAAAAGGAAGCTAGTGTTCTAAGTTCCGCAAAGCATCACCAGCAACCACAAAACCTCAAGACCATTTCAAACGTACTAGCATTGAAAAACCAAGCTTATGAAGATGAACAGTCCAAGTTGCAAAATCACAAGAAAGCCAACTGTCAAGAAATAGTTATTAAGGTTTTAGGTCTGCAATAAGAGTCTATCTTAAAAAATCATTCAAACTAAATTTTGTAGAGAACAGGAAAAAAAAGAAGTGACGTTACCAAAACCAAAAAGGGAAGATAAACTGTGCTGTGTTTAGGGTGGAAGAATATACGTATAGTATTTCCTTTCAGGAAATTTACAGTTATTCTGTATCCTAATGGGGACCTAGGACTACTACACTTATGATGTATTTTGCTGATTAGCTCTGTCATTGATAGATAATATTGACTACAATATGACACTAACCTCAGCTTATTAAATTAGAGTTAAGACAGAGGATATTTAAACCAGAGTCTATTAGAGTGCCAGAGGAGGAGGGTATTTGTTCTCAGTCTCATTTTTGAGACCCCTAACATTATCTTCAAAAGAAGCTATACCCACAATCATACACTGCAAATATTGAAAGAAAAATAATGGTCTCATACTGCTCTAATTTGCCTACCATTTTATTGCAACACTAGAAATTAATCTTTTATAGATATGATGATTATGTTGTAAATCACATAATAATGTGTAGAAATCTATGCGTTTAAAATGCTGGTTTATGAAATACCAACATTTTAAATATCCAATTTCTAATTTGACATTTCTGCACTTAAAAAAAATTATAGGAGCATCAAAATTGTACCACCCTTGAGTTCTGTCTTCTTTAACGGTCCTAATTAGAATTCTAATTTTGGCAGTTTCACACGATTTCTGGTCTCCTTTGCAATGCTGGAACACTAATATTTCAGGCAAACATTTTGCAATTCTTCTTTCTTATTTTTCACATTTTTCATTTCAAACAGAATGTTATAAATGCACCTGCCTGTTTTTTCAGTTGCAAGGAAAAGACTTTCCAGACATCTGGAAAGTCTTCAGTTTCAGCAGGTGTGCACTCTGTGTCATAGGAGTAAAAATGTTATATACTTCAAAATAACTCATGCTGGAGGAATTTCAATTTTTAGTAATGGTAGTTACTAATGGACTATTACAGACAAACCCACCTTCTGAGAACAACTTAAAAAAGGATAGAATATAAATTCTATTGGCTTGAATGCTTTAGAAAGCTGGCCAGGCAACGAGAACCTGAAGAAACCAAATCCCCCGGAGAGGAAAAGTACAAAAGTTGAACCCGATTTTCGACTCTTGTTTTTCACTTAAGGTTCTCCTGTTTATAACTAGTCACTGAGAAGCAGAGAAATCGAGCAGAAAAGGGTAGCAGGAAGCTCAGAAGTGAAGGCTACCTAGGTTACAGGGGCAAAATTAGGTACAGAAAGAAATCGCCAAGGAGATGGTGCCCTTACAGTCACCTTAAGATTTCAGGTGAGACGCCTGCAGGTCGACACCTTAGGAAAACGCATGAGCCATCAACTGTCACAAGGTTGAAGCCCAATTTCAAATCAACTAAATTACTAGGCAGTTAGATAACCATTGAACAGATGAGGGGATTCAACACCATTGTAACAGCCTCCCCTCGACCCCCCAAAAAAGTAGCCGTGGAGACTGTTACCATCCTATGCAGGATGATAACACTATCCAGATCACCAAGTTAGCTCTCAAGTTTTGGGGTACAATGTCCAAATTTCAGTAAATATTCACAGACATGCCAGAAGAGAAGACTAACTGCAACTGTGAAAATGATAGAAAATGGAAACAGATGCAAAGGGAGACACAAAATTGAGGGACTTTAACTGTGATTAAGAGTTGGAAGAAATTAGATGAAATGTAATTATATATTTTACACTGGAATCTGTCTTTTGAAAATCAGACAGGAATTCTGAAGTTGAAAGATAAAACAACTAAAATTAAATACCCAATCAGTGAGGGCTAATAGAATATTAGACCCAGAAAAGAAGAATTAGAATAAGCCAGTAGAAAACATCAGATTGAAGAACAGAGGAGAGAAAAAGGACACAGGAAAAGATGTAATTTTTTTTAATATAGAAAAACATAGGAAAATGCTAACATGACTATAACTGGTGTCTAGAAAGAGAAAAGAGGAAGAATTGGGCAGAAGCAACATTTAAAGAGGTAATACATTTTAAAATTGTATAATTTTAAAAAGACATAGGCTCAAGAAGCACTATGGACCCCAAACAGGATAGAAGTGAAGAAATACACACGTAGGTACATCTAGAAAAATTGCTACAAACCAAAAATGAAGAAAAAAAAATCCTCAGTTGGAGGGGGAAAATGACTTTTAAATGAGCAACTATAAGAGTAGAAACACACTTCTCAACAATGGAACCCAAGGAAAACGAAAGAACATATTCAAAATTATGAAAGTAAATAAGTGCCAGCTTAAAATTCTTTACCCAATGAATACATCAATTATTTTTAAGACAAAATATAACAGTTCCAGATGAACCAAAACTAAGATAATTTGTAACCTACAAGCATGAACTAAGGGAATTCACAGGAGTTGTTCAAGAAGAGCAAAAGTGTATCCACGATGGGAACCAGAACTCCATGCTAAGATGAAGTAAAAGAAGGAGTAAATATATGTGGACAAACTTAAATAACTGTTGAAGACATGTGATAACAACAGTTATGCCTAGTGAGGTTCAAAATATAGGGAGAAACTACATACATGACAATAATAGAGTAAAACATGGGAAGGTAAATTCAACTAAAGGGTTCTAAAATCCCTGCATCTTCTTTTGGTGGTAGAAATGCTAATTTATTTTAGACTTTAATCAGTCTAGAATATTGTAATCTCTAGGGTAGTCATTAAAATAATAAAAACATAACATACAATAGATAAGATAAAACAGAAAAAAAAATTTAACTGCTAATCCAAAAAATGTCCCAAAGAAAGGAAAAGACAAATAGAATGGGTTGACAAATAGAAAACAAAGAGTAAGAGGGTATCTTTAAACACTCTAATATAGTAATAATATATAAAACAAGGTTTTTTAGACCAGATGAAAAAATAGTACGTGCAACTCAATGTTGATTAAAAAAGACACACCTAAATCAACACAAGGACGCTAAAATAAAAGAATGAAAAATACATAATATGAAAAAATATTTTTTTATAGAGCTACAGTCATCAAGACAGCATGGTATTGGTACCAAAACAGACATATAGACCAATGGAACAGAATAGAGCCCAGAAATGAGCCCACAAACTTTTGGTCAACTCATCTTCGACAAA